CCGCAAAAAAAAAAAAAAAAAAAAAAAAAAAAGTCGATGTATTTGCATTTAGCTAGTGTTTGCGCAATAAGCTCCACAGAATTAGCTAACTGAATATTGATGGCGTCGAATCTTAATTGCACAAGTGATAGTTATATAAAGACATGCAATAACATAATATTCAGGGGGAACTACAAAGTTGCTCATCCTTCACCTACAGTGATCTCCGCAGATAATCGAAAGAAAAAATACATCGAGCTACAAACAATGTGAAATTAATGTGAAAACACGAATTCATCTTTAAATAATATAGAGAAAAATAATTCATGTGAAATTTTAAATAAAATACGAAAATAATAAAACAATATCCTGATCTAACCTAAGAGCTACAAACAACACGAATTCATCTATCCTAGCTTTAGTCCCATGGTCGTCACCACGACGTCGTCATCAGTGCAAGAGTGTTTTATCTTTACCTGAAAAATAAGAGTATCACATGGCTTGAGTATTTCTTAAAATACTCACTAAGTAACCCCAAATATAATTACATTCAATCATGTTTGGGACTTATCATTTCATGGACCTATCATTTTATAGAACATCATATAATGGCCTTGGTCTCTACTTCCGGAACTGAAATTCCATTAAAGGCACTTGTGACATTCACAAATCAGTTCAAGTATATAGTATTTGAATTTTCATGGTGTTAGCTCATAAATTTCCATTTGGCAAGTCCAAATCAGTCTTTTACATGCTCATACCAGCACTATGATTTCTTAGTTACGTACTTTGTAGTAATGAAATTTTCCTTTGACGCTACCACTCTCGATAACGAGGAACACATTTTTTTCCATAGTAGCATATAGAATCTTACTGCCTATCAAGCATACTAGGTCATTTTCAGTTGAAGCCATTTACTAGTACACGTGGGTACATCCTTTTCATCTCTCCGATCATAGTTCTGCATCATTTAACTATGTTTCAAGTCTATTGACTAAACATCTAACTTTCCTTAGCGAAATCCTTTTCCTGCGTATACTAGTATTAAGTAGCCTGCTACCCTCTTTTCATGAGACTATAATTCTACATTCACAGTACAATCTTGCTAAATCTAAACATCATTAATGCATCAATTGTCATTCAAATTCCATGAAAGGTAAAGCATAACATAACAAACCAACATGGTGTTAGTATCTTTCATGAGGCATACTTGACGGTGACGAATCGTTCGCTGCAAGGCCATGGGAAACATTCTAAACCTACATCAGAGGCTAGTTTACATAGTCTAAAAGCCTAGAGCTCAACCAGCTACAACAACCCTAATTTCCTATTAAAATCAAGGTTGCCACTAGTCCGATCCGATCTAGGATGTCGAAGGGTTTGTTGAAGCGTGGTCTCAGCTTGCCTTTTCGTCGGAGCCTCAAGACACCTTTAATTGAGCCCACCTTCAATACTTTATTGCCTACTTCGAACTCCAAATTCCTACTCCATACATCAGCATAACTTTTTTGTCTACTTTGAGCCCTACACATTCTTATCTTATCTTTTGTATTATCGTCCACTCATAGACAGATGGTCAAATCGAATGCTCAAACAAAATTCTGGAAGGCATGCTATGTTATAGAATTTCGCAGGTAGCTAAAACTCAAAATTGCACCTTATAGAATTCGCCTACAACAACAGCTTCCAAGCTAACTACTGGTATGACACTGTTTGAGGCTTTTTGCAGAGAGCGGTGTAGGTCCTCGATGTGCTAGGACGAAGTAGTCAAACGTGAGTTGTTAGGGCCAGAATTAGAGCCAGCCACCAATGAGGTATGGGAATCTAGAGTTCAAAGTAGGCGATAAAGTATTTTTTTTTTTAAGGGGCCCCAATGAAAGGTGTCTTGAGGTTCAAATGAAATGGCAAGTTGAGCTCACGCTTCATCAGACCCTTCGACATCCTAGATCAGATCGGACTAGTGGCGACCTTGATTTTAATAGGAAATTAGGATCGTTACACTCTAGAGGTATTACTTCAGTTTTTCAAAATTCTTTTGCACCATTTATATTGAACACTATCCATGGAAATCGAGCATTATAATCCGTTAAAACTCATTATAATGGAAAGGAACATTAGAAATTGTTGTTCAAAGTTTGGACTCAACTGGCACGACCCTAGTATCCCACAAAAAAAATTGTCTTGCATCTTTAAGAATAAAATAAGCTCAAATATGACACCTAATATATAGCTACTAACGATGCAATTGTCACAGATAATGATATTAGATGAAAAATAGATTAAAAGAGCACTTTCCAGAACATGGTAGCTTAAAATAGCACAAGAATTAAAAAGAAAGTTGAAAAAGATAAATTAAAAGAATTCATAAACCAAAAGTCATGTAGTGGACACAGCATAACGAAATGGTAGATCATTTACCTGGCATTAGCTTTATCTAGAAATTCATCAGGATATCTGCGTCGATATTGCTGTTGCCACCTAAACCTGAGCACAATCAAGCAGATGTATCAGAAAACTGTTTCTGCGAGGAGTATGCCATGCCAATGTTACTTGATTTTAGTGCGAGATCATAGCTCTATCACACTAATCATGTCGTTCGAATTCCTTTTCCTGATTAATCCCCGTTCTGATGGATATCAAGTCGAGACATACTCCCAGTTTCCTTAATTTTATTTTTCCCATTTTCAAGATTCCTCAGTTCTTAGAAATTAAACAGAGAAACACAAGAAAACAAACTTACTTGAACTCTTGAAACGCATAGACAACAGGATCAATCTTCGGAATCACGACTGGAAGCCTCTCGAACAGAACAGACGCCACAATTTTCTCGGAATTCGTCGAAAATCCTCGCCTCTTCACCAGCTGACCGGCTAAACTAAACGAGCTCTGCATTCTGAACTTCATGAATCCAAAAACCGATTAGAGGAAAAGAAACAACCATTCACAAACCACACAAGAAATTTTGAGATGATACGAAAACTTGCATTCAAGCTCTAAGAACAGACCTAGACGATCTTGTACAACCATTCATAAGCTAACTTTGAACGAGATGTATTCACCTGAGAACAAGAGGGTGACCGTCGACGGCGAGGGATGTGCTTGGTAAATCTCCTCGAGTTATTCTCAGTTCATAATTGGGCCGCCGGAGCTTGCGTCAACTATGGGTTTGGGCTGATTTTAATCATTGGGCTCCTTTTGGAAATGATAATTATTTTTTTTTTCAGAAATAAATATATGTTTTTAAAAATTAATTTAAATAAGATATTTTTAAATTAGAAGTACATATTTTATGTTTTTAAAATTTGGAGAGGGTTTGCAAAATCTAGGAAGGTGGTTGCAGCACGAACCGAAGGAAGACAACGATGTCGTTGAACACGAGGGATAGTAACACCAACCAGGTGAAAACGGAGGCGAAAGCGTGAACCATAAGAAAAGGCATAGATGTAAATTACATGTATGATTATATACTACATTGCGCCATATCGTTACACCACTATTTTCTCTAATGTTGTGAGATTTCAAACGTGTTGTATTTAATGTCTCTTGTGGTTTCAATATACGAGAGCCCAGACATGTCCATAGTTAGGCTTAGAGAGGATTGATATGTCTCGTGAGTCCTTGTGCATGTACGTAAATCAAATGTAGTCAAGTTAATACACCGACAATCCAAACTATAATGTAGAACCCAACCCCATTCATGAATTTATGTCCCATCAATAGTTATAGACATGTTATATGTATTTGCATTTCCCGGCCCCAAAGACTCATCAATAGATAGCGCAAGAACATAGCTTCTCAAACGAAGCCAATAAATGTATATACGTATATATATCGATATAATTACAGAGGATTTTCCTGCCAAAATGAGTGGGAAAATATTACATAAGATTTTGGTTACCTTCAAATCTTCAATTGGAAGTGTGATGGCGATAAGCTCAATATGTACATGACACGACAAGCTCTCGCAATCCTCCGATTTGCTTTTCGAGCTTCTCCTCTGGCTAGCAGAAAAACAGACAGGAAGGAACATGTTACGGTCGGGACCTGGACAACATTCACGATACCTTTGTAAATGCCAGGACATGACACGAGCGTGAAGGATGAATTATACCATCTTATCTTTAATCTCGTATGCAGTATGATCAATCTGATCAAATTCCACGACCGCAGTTCGTTTGCTTCGTAGGGTGATGAAACGCCCACGTCGAACTGTTGCTATTGTGGATATTGAGTCTGCTCTAAAATTCCCATGTTTGTGGAGGTTGTTGCTGGTACAAGGTTTCCATTTACACTCTTGGTTGGTCTCTTTGGTCTCTTCGGTTTCTAAGTTTGAGATTCGAAGTTTTTGACATGGGAAGAACCCTAGGACTTTTAGAAGCTATTTCCAAACATCCAGTCCTTGACACTAGATGATCTAAGTTGACCAACGATTCTTTTATCCAATTTCAGGAACTACATTGAGTGCATCTCAAGAAACGTTATATGATTCGTAAGCGAAATATAGGCGTTCAAAACTATGGGAGTGACAATGGCTCACTCCTATATCCTCAAACCGTCGATGAACTTCATATGCTGGAGTAAGGTGGGAATGACCATTGATTCGTACTCAAGTTTGAAAATATATGTAACAAATCAAGTCCACCGTTAGCAGATATTGTCCTCTTTGGGCTTTTCTTTTTCGAGTTCTACTCAAGGGTTTTAAAACATGTCTGTTAGGGAGAGGTTTCCACACCCTTATACATAATACTTTGTTCTCCTCCCTAACCGATGTGGGATCTCACAATCTACCCCACTTCAGGGTCCAACGTCCTCGCTGGCAATCGTTCCCTTCTCCAATTGGTGTGGGGCTCCCAATCCACCCCCTTTGGGGCCTAGTATCCTTACTAGCACACCGCCTCGTGTCCACCCACCTTCGGGGTTTAGCCTCCTCACTAGTACATCACCCCATATCTGGCTCTAATACCATTAGTAACAACTCAAAGCCCACCGCTAGCAAACATTGTCCTCTTTGGGCTTTCCCTTTCGGGCTTCTCCTCAATGTTTTTAAAAAGCATTTGCTACGGAGAGGTTTCCACACTCTTATAAAGAATGCTTCGTTCTCCTCCCAATCGACGTGTAGGACAGACTAATAGAGTTTTAGAACAATAAAAATGCAACATTCAATGACTATATTCACACTATTCTTATAAACTACCGAATTTGGATTATCAAGATTTGTCAGCAATAATAGACATAGAAAGTACAGTACCTTTTTCGTGCTGGAGTTAGTTTTTTCGGGATCAGGAGATGGAACGTCATATTCAGTACCCCGAGATTCGGTGTTCATTAAATCCTCCAAGGATGCATCTCCCTCAGCATCAACTCTTATACCCTTCGCTTGTTTGTTCTGATATCTACCCTTTGCGTAGCAACAAAGAGATTTTAAGGAACTAAAGACGAAAAAAATATATAAATATAAGATCTTCCAAGCCGAAAAAGATGACAAATCGGACGAACCACAATAGGTATTTCTCGTAATTTTTGCTCCAACTGCGCATCGTCGAGAAGTAAAGAAACGACCTCCTCAGGAGCTAAGATGTCTCCTTGAATATGGCCGCCGGTCATGATAAGCTGCTGAACAGTGTTCTTTATTGTTTTTCACATAATAGAATTTCGGTGAGAGAAAATTGGGAAAATGCGTAACAAAAAGGAGAGAGAAAAATAACTCTGACTGCGTTCAGGTTGTTTTATTTTCTGAACAAATATCCTATTTAAAGTAAAAAGGATTCTAAAATTGGCTGAGAGTGGCCAACTAAATCTGTGCCACTCCCTACAAAATTTCAGTCTAAAACTATGGTGATCCATTCGACGTGATTTGTCAAATGGTCAAACGGACGATTTTCTGAAATCGTGTGATTAAGAAAAACGGTAAAACTCAGGTTTTATCTAACAATCTCCTCCTAAAACCTGTAGTATATCTACCTTACTATTTGAACTCCGATCTTTGAGCGTAGTTCTTCAAATTTCACCCGCGCCAGGGACTTGGTGAAGATGTCTCCAAGTTGTTCTTCTGTTCGGATGTAATCAATTTTGATGAGCCCTCGATCTGCACATTCTCGAATGTAGTGGAATCTGATTTCTATGTGCTTGCTTCGTTCATGCAAAACTGGATTTTTGATCAGGGAGATCGTAGCTTTGTTGTCTACGTATAGCATTGGTGGATCACTTTCTCTCCCGATGAGTTCTTCCATTAGTCGCGCAAGCCAGATCCCTTGTGTGGCTGCCATCGAAGCGGCGATGTATTCTGCTTCACAGGAAGACAAAGCAACTACCTTCTGTTTTGTTGATTGCCAGCAGATTGCGCCGCCTGAGAGAAAGTAGATCATTCCGCTAGTGCTCTTACGATCATCAACGTCACCGGCCATGTCACTATCACTGTAGCCAACTAGCTTGAGTTTCTCCTTTCCGCTCCCTGCGCAGTATCTTACACCCCAGCCTCTGGTTCCGGCTACATAGCGCAGGATGCGCTTGACAGCCACTAAATGCTCCTCCCTAGGTGCTTCCATAAACCGGCTCACATATCCAACAGAATAAGCAAGATCAGGACGAGAGTTTACCAGATAGCGTAGACTCCCGACAATGCTGCGGTAATTGGTGGAGTCGACTGTCGTCGTAGTGCCAGCCTTCCTTAGTTGGAGTCGGGCCTCCATTGGCGTCCTTGTAGGATTACTGTCCACAAGTCCAGTTGTGTCCAGTAGCTTCTTTGCGTATGCACTTTGGCAGATGGAGATGCCGGTAGAATTCTGTTGCACTTCGATGCCGAGATAGTAGCTGAGCACGCCGAGATCGCTCATCTCGAAGTTTTTCGACATCTCCTTTTTGAACCTTCCGAGGACTTCCATGTCACCTCCAGTGATTATGAGGTCGTCGACGTACACTCCCACGATTAGTCGCTTCTTGTCATGGCCGTGCGTGTACATGCCATGCTCAGAAGCGCAACGTTTGAATTTCAGTGACAGTAAGGTACTGTCGAGCTTCGCGTTCCAGGCTCGTGGAGCTTGTCGAAGTCCGTAGAGTGCCTTGTGCAGGCGCAATACTTTATTGGGGTTGTTGTTAACCAGGAAGCCAGGTGGTTGTCGGACATAAACAGTCTTCTTCAGCTCTCCGTTAAGGAAAGCAGACTTTACGTCCATATGGTGAACCTCCCAAGAGTAATGTGCTGCAATTGCAAGTAAGAAACGAACGGATTCTAACCTTGCCACTGGCGCAAATACCTCTTCGAAGTCCACTCCTTGCTTCTGGACGTAGCCCTTCGCCACCAGACGGGCCTTGTGTTTCACAACTTCTCCTTTTTCGTTGTGCTTCAGTTTGAAGACCCATTTGAGCCCTATGGCTTGGTGTCCCGGCGGCATATCCTCCAGACTCCACGTTTGATTTTCGGTGATGGATGTCATCTCCTCCTACATTGCCTTCAGCCAGCACGGGTTCTTTTCTGCTTCGGCGAAGGTGCTCGGTTCATCTGCACTGATGGCATGTAGTTCGACCACTTCTTCGAGCTCGCGCACTGCCAGTCCAGGTGGTTCACCTCCTCCTACTATGTCGTCCATCCTCCGGTACCTGGCCTCCAGATCAGTATCGTGATCGGCATCCAGCGTCGAATCCGCTGTCCGTGGTGTTGCGAATTCCACTGGTTCAGGGGTTGCACCTGCTGGCGGCGGTGACGGCTGCTGATGCTGGGCTCCTCCTTCTTCCGACTCAGTGACGAGGTACTTCACCGTAAATTGATTTGGATTATGGTCTGCCTCGATCACGTCATTCCACTGCCAGAAGGTGCTTTCATCGAAGACGACGTCGCGAGACACGTGAGCTCGCCCCCCTACAGGATCATATAGTCTGTACGCCTTGCTCCCGGGTTCATAGCCAATAAAAACGACCTTCAGCCCCTTAGGATCGAGCTTGGCGAGGTGGGGACGTGTTACCTTCATGTAAGCGACGCAACCGAACACGCGAAAATGATGTACCGCTGGTTTTTTGTTGTACCAGGCCTCATATGGTGTCTTCCCGTCAAGGCTTTGGGTTGGTGACCGATTGAGGAGATATACGGCCGTCATTACTGCCTCTCCCCAGAATCTCCCAGGCATCCCGGCCGTCACCAACAATGACCTTGCTGTCCCGACGATGGTCTGATTCCGGCGCTCCAACACTCCGTTCTGTTGGGGGGAGTAGGGCGCCGTTAGGTGCCGTTGTATGCCGATTTCGTCACAGTACTTACCGAAACTTGTCGAGGTGAATTCTCCGCCTCGGTCTGTGCGCAGCACTCGCATCTTCTTCTCACATTCGGCCTCCGCTCGCGCTTTAATGCACTTAACCGCCTCTGCCGCCTCACTTTTTGCTTGCAGCAGGGTCAACCACATGAAGCGGCTTTTGTCATCGACTAACAGGAGGAAGAGACTCTTACCGCCTGGGGTCGCCGGCTTGATGGGCCCGCAGATATCGCCGTGTACAAGCTCCAACGGCTCATCGGCTCGATAGGATGTTCGAGACGGAAAGGGTGTGCGCCTCTGTTTGCCGATGAGGCACCCGTTGCACAGCTTGTTCACGCCTTTGATTGCTGGCAAACCGTGCACTAACTCCTCCTTCTGTAGTTTTTCTAGAGCAGGAAAGTTTAAATGCCCGTACCTTGCGTGTCACCTCCAAGATACCTCTTCGGTCTTGGCCGAGAGACTGACAGGTTGCTCTATCTGTAACTCCAGGATGTAAAGACGGTTTGTCGTGCGCCTTGCCTGTGTGAGCAGCCGTCGTTGATTATCGCAAATTTTGAGTAATCCGCGCTCGATGGAGATGAAACAGCCTGTCTCATCGAGTTGACCCAGGCTCACAAGGTTAGCCTTGAGCCTCGGGATGAAGTAGACGTCGGTCAGCTTGCGATGCTCGCCTCCCTTGCTGGCGAATAGGATGGTGCCGCGTCCTCCTCCATTGATCAAGAATTTCGATTTTTGGGAAGTATCATGATCATCCAATAAGAAGGGTTTCAATTTTTTCAAATGAACGATTTGAAGACCTATTGATTCTAACAACTGATTGCAGAGTTGATCATTCGGACCTTTCAATTCATAGATGTGGATCTCGGACCTATGAATGGGGATATTCCCAAAACTCACAAAGAAAAAAGGAAGTGAGTTAGACAAAAAGAGAAGAAACTTGGACAAAAAGAAACGAAGTGACTTAGACAAATCTTTTTTATCGATAACCTCAGACCAATCAATCGAATATTGATTAATACGTAATCGAGCGAACACTACTTGAAAATGAAAATGGCTCTTCTGCTCAGAAATGAAATGTTCCTGGAAATTCTTGCTCCTATTGGACCATTTGTATCTATATGCATTAGGATCCCGATTCATGGATCTCTCGGTTCGAGAAATCAAAATAAGAGGATCGAATGATTTCTTCTGACCCTTTTTCAAATTTGATAAATGTTGGTTGATCGTATATTTCATTATAGTTCCTATATGATTCAGAGTATCATTTCCTATTTGATCCCTTTGAATTCCATATTCAGAGTATCATTTCCGCTGCTCGACGTTACGCAGTCTTCCGGTCACCTCTTCTACCGTTAGGTCGTTCACGTCAAGCAATGTCTCGATTGAAATCGCAACTTGCTCGAGGTGATCAGGGACAACCTGCAGAGCATCTTCTTCACGATTTCTGTCTTGCTGATGCTGCTGCCACCGAGTGTGGTGATGTTGTTGGCGAGCCCCGTGATCCGCATTGAAAAATCAGCAACTGCTCGATGTTGGATTCCCGCACTCGCTGTACACCGACCCGACGGGATTTGATTCCCTCCCAGGCCGATTGCGCGGTGCGCTTGGTGGAGAGAGATGCCAGCATATCTGGGGGCACTGATCGTAATATGGCGGCAAACGCCAACCGATCCTCACGGTACTCAATCGTTTCTCCTTCCTCTGGCTCGACAGCATGCCATAACCCTTGCGCCTGTAGGTTGACACGCATCAACAAGATCCATTCGTTATAATTGGACTTTGTCAATATTGGATACTGAACGACAAACAGTCGTTGTCTCCCTGATCACTCGCTCAACGATAACTTGACGCCAGTCATCACGGCGATGGCGTGGAGGAGTGAGTGAGCCTACCCGAGATGGGTCCCACGATGTGTGTGTTTTTACACTTCGCATTTTCTTCTACTCGAACTTGAGACCTTTGTGATGTTAGGTCAAAGCTCTAACCACTTGAGCTATTCAACTTGTTTGTTGATAAGTTGGCTCCTCTGCAATGATATACACCGATCTTCATGTTTTTCTATTTAAAGTAAAAAGGATTCTAAAATTGGCTGAGAGTGGCCAACTAAATCTGTGCCACTCCCTACAAAATTTCAGTCTAAAACTATGGTGATCCGACGTGATTTGTCAAATGGTTAAACTGACGATTTTCTGAAATCGTGTGAATAAGAAAAACGGTAAAACTCAGGTTTTATCTAACATTCTTCTGGCTAGCTCTTTCAAGAATCTTCTCTTCAACTGTCTCTTTGCATATGAATCTGTAAACGGTGACCTACAAAGCAAATTGCAAGCACAAAAAGGTTTAAAGCATAATTAAAGTCAAACTAGGCAATCCCAATTTCTATTAAAGCAGGTTTTTCCCAAATCTCAAATTCACTGATGAAACGAAACTAACGTCTTTTGTCTGTCCGAGACGGTGAGCTCTGTCCATCGCCTGCAAATCCAATGTCGGATTCCAATCATTTTCATAGAAGATGACAGTATCAGCAGCTGTTAAGTTAATGCCAAACCCACCAGCTCTTGTGCTCAATAAGAACACAAAAATATCATTCCTACAAAAAAAAAAAAAAAAAAAAAAAAAAAA